GATACCCAGACAAAATTCATAGTGCATCAAATGAAGAATATGATTCTTTCAATTATTTTGGCACTCATATTTTAAAGTGTACCTGAAAAAAAATGATAAAAATAAAACCCCAATTCATTGGGGAATACATTTGTTTAATTTTTGGTAGTATTAAATATGAAATAAATGACAGCCAAAGTTAGCTTACTTAAAAATGAGATTTCTGGTACCAAAAATATCATTATATATGCTTTTCTTAATACTAATTTCTTCATTTTTGTTGTTTCAAAATATTTTTGAGTGGTACAAAATTTAATCAAACCAATAAAAACAGACCAGGTTAAAAAAAAGATAAGAAAAATTAACAGGAAAGAGTTTTTTTGTTTTTTTTTACAATGATGTACAAGGCCCAATAGCCACTTTCAATAGAGAGTTACAGAGTAAGAGGCCTCTCCCCAAGCAAGGTGATAATGCCACCAAGACTAAAGGGGCAACTGGAAGTGGAAGAGAAGGAAAAGACTTTAGAAGAAATCAGAAACCCAATCCTAAGCAGGAAACCAGGAATAAACCTCTACTCCTGTTCAAAAGATTGGGGATGAGTGTAAACTGGGTGATATTACCATTTTATTTTATGTTAATTTTTTTTTTTTTTTTTTTTCCACTTTTTTGTTAATTTTTCTACTTGTTTTAACATGTCTATCTTTGTTGTTTGGTTGATTCAGAATGTCTCAGCTGTATATCTCCCCAGCCTTCCTTGTTGTGTTTTAAAATGTCATTGAATCCTCTTTTAGGGGTATGTGCAAATCTCAACTGACATCGCATCCAGTTTTTCATGCATGCCTGTAATTCTTGGCAGTCGTCATTGTAACCACTCTTTGAACTTTTTATGAGGGGGTGATGAAAAGTTCTCAGTTCAGGTTATTTCCCAAATTATAACCAAATAAAATGATCAAAAGTCAGATTTTTTTTTTTTCTTTAATCTCTTCTTGGATGGGCCCAGAATCTTTCAGCACCCTTTAGACATTCTATTTGACAGTTTTGCATAAGTAGTGAATGATATTTTAGAAAGTGAAATGTATTTTTGTGGACAAAAAAAACAGTTAATTTTTTTTTTTTAAACTAAAAAACAAAAATTCTTTTTCTGTTTTATTCCAGGTGAGATTACATATTGGTTGTGAGGTGATGCTGACAAAAAATTTCAAATTATCCTGTGATACTTGATGACTTTATTTCAAACTTTCCATAAGGAGAGAACAGCATTGTTAACTTGATTTGGAATCCTGGTTTCCAGACTTCTGAAAACATCTTATGAATCAGAAAGAATTTCACCGCAAAAAATTCACATGACAGTGAATATGGATTCCGATGATGCACAAAAGAAGCCCTTTAACTGTGACATTTGTGGAAAAGACTTTTTGAATAACTCTCATTTACGGAGACACATGCGCACACATACAGGAGAGAAACCATTCCACTGTGCAATTTGCAACAAAGACTTTTCACAGTACGGTAATCTGATGGTTCACGTTGAGACACATAGCAGAATAAGGGTCTTTCAATGCAAAAATTGCTTGGAAGAATTTCACGAAAAAAACAATCTAAAAGTGCACATGCAAACGCATGCAAAGTTAAAGTTATTTAACTGCCAGCTGTGTGATAAAGCATTCTCCCAAAAGCCTCACTTAGACCTGCATTTACGCTCACACACTGGATACAAACCATTTAATTGCGATATTTGTGGCAAAGATTTTTCTCACAAAGGTGACCTAAAACGACACACTCGCATTCACACAAAAGAGAAGCCATTCCACTGTGAAACATGCGGAAGAGAATTTTCCCAAAATGGTCACCTGACGTCACACATCCGTACACATACTGGATATAAACCCTTCGTGTGTGACATTTGTAGCAGGGCATTTTCACATAAGAGTGACTTAAAGAAGCATTTACGCATACACACAGGAGAGAAGCCTTTCCAGTGTGAGATTTGTGGTAAAGACTTTACTCGTAAAGATAATTTAAGCAAGCACACTTTTAGACATATTAAAGATGCCACTTTATTAGAGTAGACTTTAGAAGAATTGGTAACTTCTTGAAAACATTTCTTCCTATCTTATAACTCATATCATATTGATATACAATCAAGCTGGTGCTAAGAAAATTCACTTATGGGCAATTTGGTGGAAACGAGTCTGGAAATACTATCTTTAAAGAAAGTATATTAAAAAGATAGAAAAATATTTATAATAAACAAAAATTGAAATGAAAATGTTTTCTTATTGTTTTTTTTAATGTCATGTGCCTTCAGGGTATAGGCAATCATTGCTAAACATTTCTCCCATACTTGAAACTCATATTGATATTTTTTTAATCATTTCACACCAAGCAATTTCAGTTATAGATGCTTTGGTCTAAAAACTTATGGATGTATCTTTAAAGATAAGAATTAATAGGAAATACTGACAATAAACATAGGAAAACATATAATACAAAACACTAGGGAAATATTTAATAGTAAATAAAAATTGAAATGAAATGAAATGAAAAAGTTTTCTTATTTATTTTATGCTATACTATTTCAAGATGTAGACAATCATGGCTAAGTATTTCTCCCAAAATTGTAACTCATATAAATATACAAGCAAGCTGATGCTCAGAAAATTCAGTGATAGACAATTTGGTGTAAAAAAATTATGGAAGAGTTGTTTTTTTTTTTCATGCCATATTCCTTGATGATGTAGGCAGTCATGGTCTTTCCATAGATTCCTTTATGATCTATGAACTGTTATGCCATCTTGGGAAACGTAGGGTAATGGTTTCTTGTCACAGTTTTATTTTCGATGTTGTCCTTCTAGACTGATTGCCACCCAATACTAGGAAGAAAATAGGTGGTTTCCTACCTTTCCCAAAGCCATTAGTATGAAAGGGAACATAACAGACTTGGTGAGAATTTGAACTTGTCTCACTGAATCTATTTTCTGTTCTGATAACTGCTATGCTCTCTTCACTTAAAAGACCATTATAATACCAAGTTTTATTAAAATTAGGACATTTTGTTATAAAAAAATTTGGTGTTAAAATATAATTTATAAATTTAAACTGATGATTTTAAGCTATGCACAATCACTTTCTAGAATGTAGATTTTTTTTTTTGTTTCTATCCTGTAACTGAAGAAGAATTTTTAGTTTTGTCTGAATTTCTGGGATGAGGAGTTATTATTTACAATGTTTACATGCGGACTATTCTATTGTCCTCATCTTTGTTGTTGTTATCATGTTCCAGCTGTCATAGCTTCTGACCTTCAAGGTGTATATGAATCCAGGTAACCTACAGGGAATTCCAAACTGAACACTTTATATAATCTATGGAGGTAGACTGTTTTTGTTCCACTGCTCATGTCTAGGGATATCTCGTTTAGTTCTTATTTTTAGTGTTGCTCAGTTACTGATCATCCTGTTTCCACTAAATCCAAGTACACACTGTCTGGCTGAGGGATTGAACTCACAATTTCTATGTCACAAATCCACTATACTATTGTCTTGTAAAAATTCCTTATAAGTTACCTAGATTGATATACACCTGATGAAGGCTGGAGAAACCAATGGCTGAAATGTTACAATAGCAGCAAGAAAGATGGGGACAATAGTCCACTTGTAAATAATAATTTTTATGCATGAATCAGATTGATTATTTCCTATTTTTTCTGTCGATTGTCCCCTTTTTGTAAATGCATAACTTTTTGGTTCTTTTTTAAGAGCATCAGGAAAATTCCAGATGTTAGGCTGATTTGATTAATTCATATTTTACAGCTTATTAACCCTTTGCAGGTTATTTAAAGCCAGTTTTAGATTATAAGTTTTTTTTTTTTTTTTTTTTTTTTAGTAATGATTTAGTGATACAAGTTTTACTAATTAACCCATAACGAGGGGTAAAAGCAGTGGATGCATACCTTTCCTAAGAGTATTTGCATGTAAATGAATATAACAAACCCAATTGAAATTGGAGCTCGGCTAGCTGATTAATAACTCTGAGCCATTATTCAAGCTTACAGAAACTGGTATTAACAAGCAATTACCCATTTAGGTACTGACCAGAATTGATGATGCTTAACTTCATTTATTGCCACTATTTATTAAATATTATTGATTTGTATTAGGTTAAGTCATAAGTAATTTTCATTTTTGAAAACCAATTGTAATGATAAATGTATCATTCTAACTACTAATCATATATGGCAGCACACTAACATACCTTAGTCTTTGCATGGCAGTGGCAGCAATTACAGCGGATTAAAGGAAAAACATTTTTCTCCTCCATGAAAGTGCAAGAATACATACGAAAATAGTACAGAAAAACTTTGTAACTCTGTTCTATGCAATCTATTATTGTTACCTGACCTCACACCAAACAATTATTTCACATCAAAACCTGCAGAATTTTACTCAAAATGTATCGAAAGACTGCCTGATAAGTGGCAACAAGTCACTGCAAATAACGGGGAATATTTAATTGAATAGAAATATAATTGTACTTTATTTTTTGATGAATAAAGTTGATAAGCAAAAACGGAAATTATTTATGGCACAACCTAATGTTTTTGTTCTGTGATTTGAAGCAGCTTTGGATATTATTTTGAATAGGAGCATATGTAATAACAAAATCGTGAGACCAAATTTTCTGACCATGGGCAGACTAAGAAAAAAAAAAAAAGAAAGTGATCCTTTCAGATGAACAATTTTTATTTTCTTTTTTAATCATGTTTCAACTGGTTTACTTTCCAGCCATTCTCAGGTGTAAATGTTATACCTGTAAACTTCAGGCTATTATGAACAGCAGAAATATTTTGAAAGAGATTTTCCTTTGTCAGAATCATATTGATAATTTTTTTTTTTTTTTTTTTTTTAGCAGCAGGTGTTCTGCTCATTATATAAATACTGTGTCAGCACAGTCCCTGACTTCTTAAAGTGTTATTTATACCTTGTTTTTATCTACAAATGTCAAGGCTTACGGACCGCATCATGTTGAAACCCTAGTTCCCATATGATCACCGAAGTTAAGCAATGTCGAGCCTGGTCAGTACCTAGATGGATGACCACTTGGGAATAAAAAGTGCTGTAAGCATGGATGTGTGGGTGATGTAATGGATAGTCTTGTAATTGTTAATTGGAGAGCCATGTTCCAATTCCAGTTGGAGTCATTATATTCACTTATGCACAAATAACCTTGAGAAATATATGAATCTACTCCCCCAAGTTATGGGTTAATTAGTAAGAATTGAATCACTAAAACCATTAAAAAAAAATTTGGCATTAAATAATACAGAGGTTGATATGCTGCTAAACAAAACCAACAACTAACAGATATCAAATTTTGAAACTGCTTATATCATTGATAATTCCAGATTTTTTAAAAAATCATTTCATCCTAAGCAAGGCAATAAAGCCACTAAGACATAAGAGGGTTTCTTAGTGTTAGAGAATATGATAAAAATATATTATTAATGAGAGAAGACACTAAATGGACGAAAATTAAGAAGACAATATAATGATTGACATTGCATTTAAAGTTTTAAAGATCAAACTTGACAGGAAAGCAAGAAGAGAGTTCTACAAGCAAGAAGTGCAATAGAAGAAACTATAAACATAAAATTTACAGTTTCAAATGTAAAATTATGAGACCCTGCCGCCAATCTAGTACTGAGCTTAAATTCATAAAGTTCTTAGTTACCAAAAAGGAATGTTCATCTGGATAATTACTGTGAAAGCATTTATAGAAAAGGCTACATTATGGCATTGGGAAAGGGACTGAAGCCAAGATGCCAAGGACCAATAACATTGCAGTTTCTTCTTTGGATTTATCAAGGATCTCTAAATAAATAACAAGCACTAGACAAGATATGATGGCAATATTGAAAGCAAGGATGAAAGATAGACTTATAATTATGTAAGATAGCTTCTGGTGAGAAAAATGTTTAACTAGAAACATTGAACCAACTTTCCTAGACTTAGCAATTGATTCTATATACTCTTTCCATTTCATACTAGCAGAAAATGTTAGTCTGAGAAGGTGCAATGAGTCACTCTACTGAAGGTTTGCATCAGCCATGCTGATGGAAGTTAAAAACTGTTCTCTCAGCCGATTAAAATAGGGCAGTTTTGTCTTGGGGGTGTTAAAATTAACAAGCCACTCTTTCCCCTATTTAACAACAGATTGTATGTCATTATTTAGATCAGCTGTCAATTTGACCTTTTCAAACCGATCAGACTTACTATTAAGACAGGAGAAAATGATTTTGTCATCAACATAGTGATATATCCCAAAAAGGGATATATTTGAATGAAGTAGCTAAGAGGTTTTGGCTACTATAACCAAGTAGAATACGATAGCAGTAATCAACTGGTACATGTCGTAGTCGCAGGTAAGAAGTGTAGATCAATGGCGTAGTCCAATGGGCATCATTATAGACTTAGCTCTCAGACTAAGGCTTGACTCTCCTACACATCCGTCGGTATTTATGACGGACATCAACCAATAATATTCTAGTAAGGGGAAATACAGGTGTACGCATATTCCATTATATCACATAGATACTGAGCTGAGAACTGATGATGTCAGGAAGGTCATTTATGAAAGTTTTGGAACAATGTAGGTCCAAGGACAGAGCCCTGAGGAACACCTAATTAATACAGAAAGATCTAGAAGAGTAGTCATTCAAACAACTTTCATTTTGTGATTTGATAAGAAAGACCAAATCAGTTCAAAAATTTGTCCAGAAATACCATAACCTTTTAACTTGTGAAGCAAACCAGTATGCCAAACCCTGTTAATTGCCTTTGAGATATCCAAAGCAACAGCCTGATCTTTACCATTCTTATCTAAAGCTTGACAAATTCTTTCAGCAATAAATATTAACACATCAGCAGTTGACCTAGAGAAGTGAAAGCCACATTGCTTATCTGAAAGAAGACCTTGCAAAGTAAGATGCTTCACCAATTCAGAATTAATTAGAGCCTTTGCTAAAAAGAGGTTGAAAGCTATAGGCTGATTGAAGGATCAGACAGTTTGCTTGAGTTCTTAATGGCTGGAACTACAGAAGAGCATTTCTAACAAACAAGAAAGAAAAACGAACAATGCATTTGTTGTAGAGTTTATAGACAACAGGAGCCAGTTCAAGGGCACATTTCTCTAAAATGATTGCAGGAATACCATCAAGTCTACATGCTTCACTTACCATTGATATGTCCTGTGAGTGACAAATTCTTGAAGCCCTCTTTCCTCATTGTGTACCCCAAAAATTTCACCTCTTTCTGATTCTAAATATGTGTCCTTTTTGTTTCCATTTTCTTTAAAACTTCCTTGTTACTCACATATTCAGTTCATGGTATTCTCAGCATCCTTCTGTAGGACTGCATTTCTAGTGCCTCAAGTCTCCTCTTCATCTGTGAGGAAATAGTCCATTGCCATATAAGAGGATTGGTAAACAGCAAATCAGCATTCTTTTTTCTATTTCTAATGAACATCTGTTTCTTAAAACTTTGTTTAGCTTTCAGAAGGCATCTTTTGTTATTCCAATACTCCTGTAGTATTAGTAGCAATATTACTTTTGAATTTATATTTAAACAAAGCATTGTTAATTATTATTTATTTCCAGTTACTATTTCTTTAATCTATGTTTTTTCTTATTGCAATCTTAAATGAATCTTCTTTGTCAATTTTTATTAATCTTACTTTTTATAAAACGCAGATTGTGTGTGTGTGTGTGTGTGTGTGTGTGTGTGTGTGTGTGTGTGTGTGTCTGTACGTTTATATATTGGATCGGATTTACTACATTTTTCAACCAATTTCAACAAAACTTCATACGACTGCGTAAAATTACCTTGCGGTGGTTCTGACAGCGCCAAAAATTGGAAAAACACAATTGTTTTTGCACAAAATCAATTTGAAAACACGATAAAACACAATTCTGTCGCCAGAATGAAAGGGGAACAACTCATATCAAGTTATACTTATAAAACCCAGGTTATTTGTGTGTGTGTGTGTGTGTGTGTGTTCGTTTATATATGGGATTGGATTTCCTACATTTTTCAACCGATTTCAACAAAACTTCACTTTTTTTGGCAGGTAGTGTTTCTTACTGTCTTGCACACTTTTTTCTTTATTTTTACATTCAGAATGCTTTAAAAATTCCATTTACAAGACAATTGTTTATAATAAAATTCTGTTCAATCGATAGACTCATAACTATTGAAAACAATGTTTTTGTTTGAGTTTGACCAATTTGTAAAAAAACCCCAAAAAACAAAAAAAAAAAATAATTAAGACATGCGTGTCCATCAACCTTAAACAATAATCTTTGTCAATTTTATTTTTCAGTCTTTATAATGGTTGATACTTGATCTATCTTTTACTGTTACATCCCCGGGCAATGCCGGGCTTTACTGCTAGTTATTAATAACACTGTGTAACAAAATTTTGACATGTTTTGTCTTTGTTCAGTATGTATTATTTCCTGATTGCTTCTGTTTTGAAAGAAAATGAAATGACTATTATTCCCTTCAAACTTTGCTTTTGTTACCTGGACATTGATGTTTTGAAACTAACCTATTTTCCATTACATTCCAGACAGATGCTCCTGCTGAAGGAGAATTTTCTAGAAGTTTCAAGAATTTCTAGAATATTCTGGATACCAAGGATTGTATAATGAAAACATGATGCAATACTATATTTAGGGGGCTGATTCATGGAAGTAATTTACAGTATAAATGTAAATCATGGAAAACTACTAATTTCTAGATTTTTTTTTGGTCTCTCTTTGTGCAATCCTAGAATGAATAAATGCTACTTTTGAACCATGTCATTTTGTTCCTACTTTGCATGATTGAGAATGCTCAGATTTTTCCCAATGGAATTGGTAAATTTTATAAATATCATTGTCCTGGTCGCGAAAGCAAAGTTTGAAGGAAAAAGCCATTTTTCATACTTTCTAGGCATAAGCAAATAAGAAATAACAATTGCTATCCAAGGCTAAAAACCATGTTACACAGTGTAATTATTTTAATATATTTTCTATTTATATGTTATTTTTATAGATGCAAATATTTAAGTAAATGATTTGTTTTTATAAATAAATAGTATTAATTACATTTACTGGCCTGAATGTCTGAGAAATCTCATGGAAAATATGTGTCCTCCAACTTAGTCCATTTTATAATATATGACGTCATTTGTTTACATTAAGATACACTTTGGGCAGATATGAGTGTTTGAGAAAGATCATGGGAAATTTATTGTTTAAAAACAGTATTTTGATTTTGTTAACTAAACACTTACTCTATAGCTAAATGGTATAGCACATCAGGCTATATGACGGTTGTATGTCAGATACAGATACAATTCTTGTTGGAGGACACATATTTTCTATGAAATTTCTTGGACATTCAGGCTGGTAAATGTAGTTAATACTCTTTATTATAAAAACAGAGCATTTATTTAAATATTTGTATCTATAAAAATAACATATAAACAGAAACTATATCAAAATAATAGTTGGACTTAGTCCATTTCATAATATACAATGTATTTATATATTATTAATAATAATATATTATTAATAATATATAATTATTATTAATATATTATTACTAATAATATATAATTATTATAATTATATATAATATTGGCAATATTTAACACTTGTGCCTAAAAAAAATCAATGTGTCAAATGGATGGTTATTCTCTTGACCTCGCTTTTACTCCCTCAGCAATGTATATTTATAAGATTATAAAAATGTGAATCAAGTACAATACAATATTTATCAATTACCTATTATAAAGATCTACTTAACATTTTATATAGAAATAAATTTGAAAAGAAATCTTTTTAATAAAATATGTAAACATCTTTTGATAATTTTTTAATTTCTTATTTTTTTTGTTTAATTTTTTTTTTGTCCTATGTTTAGGTTTTACTACAATTTTAATCATTGCTTTTTAAACAATAGACATTGCCAAGGAGTGAATGTAGTTAAAATAATAGCAGAGTTAAGGGGGGGGGGAAATCAACCTTTTTGAAGGTTAAAGATTGCCAGAAAATATTTAGAGAAACTTACACAAAAAAAA